CCTGCACAGGTGAGAAAAGACACACAAACCAAATCAGTGCTAGTTTGCATAATGGCTTTGAGATGGAGCTACAAACCAGGCAGTCTAATTTGGCTCTAATGCAACCTCTGCAATGAGGGGCTCAGACAAATTAAGTCCTACAACTCTCAACAGTCTCCAACTCCCCCACCCCCCGGGCCACTTTGAACAGTTAGAATTAGTGCCTTTTAAAAAGCCGGGTGCAGAGGCTCTATCCCAGGGTGTTTTCTTTCAGGCTTAGCTGAACAAGAGCATTAATATACGATGAACTTCTTTACAAGTGAATATACTTGTATACAGTATATCCAATTAATATACTATACACTGCACAAGTCTTGGAAAAGCTCATCACAAAATTTAACACATTCGGAGCAGCTCCAGCCACCGTATCACGGGTGGATCCAACCGTCATGCCAACAAATCTTTTGGTAAGTAGCCTAGAAGTGTGCAAGGAGCAAATTCTCAGCCCCTCGACTACGCAACACACGCGGCCGTCACATCCTAAGTTGGCTGGCAGTACACTGGAGGGCAACGAGCACTTAGTCCCTGTGGATTGACTGCCCCCCTCCCGGTTGCAACAGCACGATAACTCATCACGCCCAGGCGTGGCTCAGCCGCGGGGAGCTGCCGGTCCTGCTCCAAGTCAGGAGGTGGGCTTTGCCCCTCGGCTCCAAAACCAACAAGGACTTTTCCTCCACTGGGGCTTGTCACCGGCTCCAAATGCTGCAGGCTCCGAGCAGCTGGAGCCGCCCAGGCGGTGCCAACTCACACACATCACAGGCTGCGTTGGCAGCAGCCACACACAAGAACACGGAACGGGGTTGAAGAGACGAAGGCCCGACCGTTGCTTCCTCCCACCCTGGCCAAGAAGATTCGACTTGGCGCGGAAAGCTAAAACCGACGCTGCGTGCTCCTGTGTGTAAATGAGGACCTCTCCAAAAGCCACTTCACGTCATCGGGGAGATAGGCAGCAACTCCACCCCACAGAGGCAGAGATAAAAGAGCCTGCGAGAGATCAAGGCGAAAGAGCTACGGCTCTCTGCCATTTGGCAACTTGCTTCCCTCCCTCCCAGCCCAAAATGTATCCGACGTCGGAGATTTGCAGCTCCTCTGGTCCTGCCCAGAAAACAGATCTGAACGAAAACAACACGGGGCTCCTCACTGGGGAAGCGCCGGAGAAGCGGCGAGGGCGAAAGGGTGCCCCCTGCTGGCAAGGAAAGCAGGCTCAGTTTGCCGGCCCCCGGCTCTGTCGGAGCGACGGTGGGAAGCCCGAGCGCGGCGCACAGTGAATGGGGATCTGTTGCCTTCTGTGTGTCCGAGCAGATGGTCGCGGCAGGCAAAAGGCGACGGAGGAATGTGCGTTCTGGCAGCAGGCCTCCCTCTGCAGCTCCCCGACTTTTCCGAGCAGCAGAAAAGGCGCCCAGTTAAACTGAATTCCTGCACCAGCCACTTTCTGCAGGCTTCATTGTGCCACTTTATTCAGGGTTGGGGTTGGGGCTGGGGTTAGGGGAGGCTGGCCAAAACAATGCGAGGATGCCGCTGTAAAGCCCCCAGGAGGAAGGAAAGATCAAGGCAGGGGGCGGAAACAGGAACTCAGAAGGAGAAGGAGAAAGCGAGGAAGGGCCAGGGCCTCCAACACATCTGTCTCTCCCTGCACCCTCTCCTTCAGCCCCCCTCCCCATTCGACCTGCGCTTATGCTCCTGGGTGAATTCAGCAGCAGCTGCAGCACCTCCTTGGCACCACATACAAAACTTAGAAATCTCCCCCCCCCCCCCCCCCCCCCCCCCCCAAGAGAGGGGGGGAAAAAAACCCGCCGCCGCCCCCCCACTCACCCCACCCCCCTCCACAGATGAAAAAAAAAA